GTCGGGACGACATAGATGACATAGGTTAAAAGAAGGAGCGAGATTGGTCGGCTATGTCTTATCGCTGCTTTGTCGTGCCTTTCTCAGGTGGAATGGACGACATGTCGGAAACTTAAGAGGTGCCGTTAGCTTGTCGTGAGTTCAACCCGACATAGGCACGACAAATCAGCGATAAGACGTAGCCAACCAATATGCCCCGCCATTTAACCTATGTCATCTATGTAGTCCCGACAAGCAAAAAATTTCAAAAATCAGGCAGCTGATCCTAAGAGCTTTCGTCAAAAGCAAATCCGAGGTAAATAGGTCTAAGATTTGTTGATATCGAAGGAGGACGAATTGCAAAGTGGCAAAATAAAAAATTTATGGTTATCAATTCGAGGTAAATTTTGCAACGTCGGTTTCGCAAATGGAAAAACTGAGGGTTGTTGGTACATTTAAAGACCTAGAGCTTTCATATGTAAAAATCCGGTTGCGTAAATCGAAATAGCGAGGGTCGTTCGTACTTTCAGAGACTAACAGCTTTCATTTGCAAAAATTCTTTGTAAATTGTTCCGAAAATTGCAGAGATTGGAGGAGAATAAACGGTCTGGCGGCAAACACGATAGTCTTTTGTCCTTGATTTGAGGAAAATTTTGCAACGTCGGTTGCGTAAATCGAAATAGCGAGGGGTGTTCGTACTTTCAGAGACTAACAGCTTTCTTTTGCAAAAATTCAGTGTAAATTGGTCCGAAAATTGCCGAGATTGAAGGAGAAAAAACGGTCTGGCGGCATGGACGAAAGTATTTTGTTACCAATTCGAGGTAAATATTGCAACGTCGGTTGCGTAAATCGAAATAGCGAGGGGTGTTCGTACTTTCAGAGACTAGAGCTTGCATTTGCAAAAATTCCGTGGTAAATTGGTCAGAAAATTACCGAGATGGAAGGAGGACAAACTTTTAGTGGCGGGTGGGACGAACATATTTTGTCCTCAATTCGAGGTAAAATTCGCAACGTCGGTTGCGCAAATCGGAAAACCGAGGGTAGTTGGTACATGTAGCGACCTAAAGCTTGCATTTGCAAAAATCCGAGGAAAATTAATTCGAAAATTGCCAAAATTGAAGGAGGATAAGCGGGCTTGCGACAAAGACGAAAGTATTTTGTTACGAATTCGAGGTAAATTTTGCAACGTCGGTTGCGCAAATCGAAAAACCGAGGGTTGTTAATACATTTAAAGACCTAGAGTTTTCATTTGTAAAAATCCGAGGTAAATTGTAGTCCAAAAATTGCCAAGATTAAAGGAGGAAAAAGTCTGGCGCAAAGACGAAAGTATTTTGTTACCGATTCGAGGTATATTTTGCAACGTCGGTTTCACAAATCGAGAAACCGGGGGTTGTAGGTACCTTTAGAGACCTAGAGTTTTCATTTGCAAAAATCCAAGGTAAATCGGTCCAACAGTTCCGAGATTGAAGGAGGTTAAACGGTCTGAGGGCAAAGACAAAAGTATTTTGTTCCCAATTCCAGGTAAATTTTGCAACGTCGGTTTCGCAAATCGAAGAACCTAAGGCTTTTGGTAAATTCAGAGTCCTAGAGCTTTCATTTGCAGAAATCCGAGGTAAAATAGTCCAAAAATTGCCGAGATTGAAGGAGCATAAACGGTCTGGCTGCATAGACGAAAGTATTTTGTTACTAATTCGAGGTAAATTTTGCAACGTCGGTTTCGTTAATCGAAAAACCGAGGGGTGTCGGTACATTTAGATACACTGACCTATCATTAGCTAGAATATGAGGAAAATCGGTCCAATAGATGCCGAGATTGAAGGAGGAGAAACGGTCTGGCGGCAAAGACGGAAGTATTTTGTTACCCATTCGAGGTAAATTTTGCAACGTCGGTTGCGTAAATCGAAATAGCGAGGGTTGATCGTACTTTCAGAGACTTAGAGCTTTCATTTGCAAAAATTTAGTGTAAATTGTTCCGAAAAATGCAGATATTGAAGGAGAATAAACGGTCTGGCGGCAAAGACGGAAGTATTTTGTTACCCATTCGAGGTAAATTTTGCAACGTCGGTTGCGTCAATCGAAAAACCGAGGGGTGCTGGTACATTTAAAGACACAGAGCTTTCATTTGGTAGAATATGAGGTAAATCGGTCATATAGTTAACGAGATTGAAGGAGGATACGCGGTCTGGCGGCAACGACGAAAGTATTTTGTCACCAATTCAAGGTAAATTTTGCAACGTAGGATTCGCAAATCGAAAAACCGAGGGGTGTTCGTACATTTAGAGACCTGCAGCTCTCATTTGCAAAAATCCGAGGTAAATTCGTCCAAAAATTGCCGAGATTGAAAGGAGTATAAACGGTCTGGCGGCATAGACGAAAGTATTTTGTTACCATTTCGAGGTAAATTTTGCAACGTCCGTTTCGCTAATCGAAAAACCGAGGGGTGTGGGTACATTTAGAGACACTGAGCTTTCATTTGTTAGAATATGGGGTAAATCGGTCCAATTAGTGCCGAGATTGAAGGAGGTGAAACGGTCTGGCGGCAAGGCGGAAGTATTTTGTTATCAATTCGAGGTTAATATTGCAACGTCGGTTGCGTAAATCGAAAAAGCGAGGGCTATTCGTACTTTCAGAGACTAACAGCTTTCATCTGCGAAAATGTCGGGTAAATTGGTCTGAAAATTGCAGAGATTGAAGGAGAATAAACGGTCTGGCGGCAAACACGAAAGTCTTTTGTCCTTGATTTGAGGAAAATTTTGCAACGTCGGTTGCGTAAATCGAAAAAGCGAAGGGTGTTCGTACTTTCAGAGACTAACAGCTTTCATTTGCAAAAATTCAGTGTAAATTGGTCCGAAAATTGCCGAGATTGAAGGAGAAAAAACGGTCTGGCGGCATGGACGAAAGTATTTTGTTACCAATTCGAGGTAAATATTGCAACGTCGGTTGCGTGAATCGAAATAGCGAGGGGTGATCGTACTTTCAGAGACTAAGAGCTTGCATTTGCAAAAATTCCGTGGTAAATTGGTCAGAAAATTACCGAGATGGAAGGAGGACAAACTTTTAGTGGCGGGTGGGACGAACATATTTTGTCCTCAATTCGAGGTAAATTTCGCAACGTCGGTTGCGCAAATCGAAAAACCGAGGGTAGTTGGTACACGTAGCGACCTAAAGCTTGCATTTGCAAAAATCCGAGGAAAATTAATTCGAAAATTGCCAAAATTGAAGGAGGATAAGCGGGCTTGCGACAAAGACGAAAGTATTTTGTTACGAATTCGAGGTAAATTTTGCAACGTCGGTTGCGCAAATCGAAAAACCGAGGGGTGGTGGTTCGTTTAGAGACTAAGAGTTTTCATTTGCAAAAATACGGTGTAAATTGGTCCGAAAATTGCCGAGATTGAAGGAGGATAAATCGTCTGGCGGCAAAGACAAAATCAAGTCATTATCAGTTTAAGGTAAATTTTGCAACGTCGGGCATGCGATTCGAATAAGTAACGGGTGCTGGCAAATCTGCAAGTTTGTAATTTCCGAGATCGAAGGAGGACAAAAAAATCTTAAAGATTTAATTTTACAGATAGAAGATATCGTTATTGAAAACCATATCTTCGTTCCCAAGCATTTTTAATTTTAGATTTTTTTTTTTTTTTGTAATTTGCTTAAAAATTAATAACCACCATTCAAAAAATATCATTAAACATTCTTCTTTAAAATGAACGGTCGATATCATCAAAACCTGAAGTATGTTGATCATATAAATCCCGGCAGTGGAGTACTTGCACCTGGTGCAATAACTCCTACTACGTAATGCTTCCACCATGGTGCAATAACTCCTAGTACGTATGCGGATTTTTAAGGTGCAAATGTATAATTTTTAAGGAATATATTGATCAATAATCGAAATTGGGTCTTTATAATAAACGGGCAACAATGTTTTCACTCCCTCCCTCGTTATATATACGGGTTTCGACGATGGTGCAACAACTCCGGAAAACTTGCATGGTGCAACAACTCCTACTCCACAAGAATATATATATATATATATATACACACATACGGAAAAGAAAGGCTTACACATTCAAAATTAAAACCGAGACGTTTCGTCCAAATTCTTGGACATTTTCAATCGATAAAACAAAGGTCAATAAAATACAGTCGTCTCTCAGACTGGAGTAGCGAGGCACTGACTCCGCACTGAGTCCGAGGACTGACTCGTCAGTGCCTCGCTACTCCAGTCTGAGAGACGACTGTATTTTATTGACCTTTGTTTTATCGATTGAAAATGTCCGAGAATTTGGACGAAACGTCTCGGTTTTAATTTTGAATGTGTGAGCCTTTCTTTCCCCAGATGTGTTTTCAGTGTATTTATTTTGGGCTACGTTAGATTCACTTTTACTTATATATTTCTATATAGCGATTTTTCCGTTGAGAAATGCTACTTAGGCAAGTGCAATAACCCAAGTGCCTAGTAGTGATCGCGATAAATAGCAATTTTATCGGTTGGTTATCGCGATTATATCGGCGGCAATAAATCGAAATGTTATCGCATCAAAAATTGCGATATTTGACGATTAAATCGCAACAAGTCCCAATTTTTGGTTCGATAAAATCACGATCAATTTTCGTCGATAAAATTGAGATTAAATCGCCATTTATCGCGAGTTTTATTCCGAAAATATCGAGGTAAATTGCCAGGCGATAAAATCGCGATTTTAACCGCTCAAATGTTGATGATCTTATAGCAATTTCATCGAGTCACTGTCAATCGAAATCCTTTGTCCGCTTAAAATAATATGCTATTTACGGTCTTTGTCGAGGGCTTGGTCCCTATTTAGATTAAAAAGTATAATACTGCGGAGTATCTCTCTTGCACTTTGATGCCTCATACTTAGTAACATGATGAGAAACATGTTGCTTGGGTCGATGTTCTAGTTCTTCAAATGATTATGTCTTTTTAATCATCCGTTTTTATTATTATTGTTCTTTTTTTTAAATAATTGCATCTATGATGTTATATATAATCGTTTTAGAATCCTGTTGAAACTGTCTTCTCGGGGATTTGGAAAATTCTGCAGCCCACACTGTTCGGATTAACGGGTGCAGAGATTGACTTCAATCAAATACACGGTGCGACTATACTGGAAGGCATAGGCGTTCTTGCAGGCGGATTATTGGTAATTTTATCTCAGGAATACTACTTAACTTAGCTGTCCAAATTTTAAAGATAACACAGGAAGAGTAGCATTTCACTTACGACCTCGGCCGGCTCTAGATTGATCTGCTTAAACTGTTCGAATTTTGTTGGCACAAGTTCTATGGATGGATTGAACGTTAAAGATTTCGTAGATTGTTGATTGGAATGCACTGAAGCAACCCAAACCTAAGATCGTAGAAACAAGAAATAATTATTTTTACTAACTCTTCCTACTCCCCTTTCCTCTCAAACGGGTGTAATAATCGAGGCAATTGAAAATGCGTGTAACAGAATGTGTTACAGACGTTGTTTCTCATCTGTGACACAGTTTCAAAACATATCTAATCCAAATTGCGCTATTAGGGATTGCACTATGATACCCTGAAATCTCATGTTATCCTCCTAAACGATAGCTTTTTTCTTTTAATATCATATTCGATATAAACCTAAACGACATGAGAAAGTTTTGATGCGGCCACCGAAAAATGCTACATCTGGGTAACTATAGTCGGTAGTGAAAAATTACACTCTTAAGTGGTGAAAAATATGCGCTTTTTAATTACATTTTTTAATTTTTCCTATAGTTACTACCCACTAATAAAACAAGGGGTTATTTCCACCTGAATACCTACTTTGTTTGTATCTGTACTTTTGCCTCTGAGATTTCTCAAATTTTCATTTCAGGTAAGTGACTGTTCGTTCTAGCTTCCTACTGGGCCGATTTTAATGGCATTAGCTGCATTCGACAAGTGAATTGTCCTCAGATGAGACCGCTTTATCAGGTTTTGGATATAGGTACAATGGTTCAGGGTTTGGTACGTAGGTACTTGGTAAAGTTGGGTTTCGTATGTACACGGTAAAGTTGGGTTTTGTATTCACGTGGTAAAGTTGGGTTTTGTATTCACCTGGTAAAGTTGGGTTTTGTATATTTATGTTACCGTTAAAGTGCGTAATCCGTTATTCTATAATGCATAGAATAACTGAAGAGATCTGTTAAAGGATGGAATGTCCGACGATTATGTACTTTGACTAAGTAGTTATTAGAACAACGAACGGCTCGCGGGGAGAGCGGGTAATGCTCATCGACGAGAACCAGCATCTGGGAAATGCGGGAGCGGAGGAGGGGGCGCGAGAGGTTGATTGATTGAGGAATAATGTCATTTGATAAAATTGTAAAAGGTAATAGGTTTTCACATAAAAGTAATAAATATGATTTTCGTTGTAAAACTAGAAATAAGGAAGAACAGAAAGAAAGATATGAGCCGAGATATGAATGCTAGAATGTACGAAGACCCGCATGTATTCGTGTGGTGGACTAGAAGGCCACCCCCTCCACAGGGCTGCCGATCCGATTACCCATTTTTGAGACCACGATTAACCACCGTTTCCAATTTTACTCACACTTTACCCACCGACTCCAGCTTTACCCACTTTTACCCACCGGCCTCAGCTTTACCCACGTTCACCCACCAGCTTCAACTTTACCCACTGATTATCCACTGTTCACCCACCGTTTACCCACTGTTCACCCACCGTTTACTGCCAAATTTGAAATTTCTTACGGTTATTTCGTTGGATGTTAGTGAAATACCCACAGATTAACCGTTGCCTGGATTACCCACAGGTTACCCACCGTTGCCTGGATTACCCACGAATTACCCATTTCCCACCAATTACCCACCGGAGTTCAAAATACTCACGAAATGGGTAATTGCCGACGAATCGGCAGCCCTGCGGCCGTCCACAAAGTGAGAGGCAACAGTACTGCCCTCTGTGCACTGTGTTATGTACCAATTTAAAAAAGGAAATGAAAAACAGAATTTAAAAATGCCTGCGTAAAAGAGTCACCTCCTCTGTTGACCTGGGCGTATTGTGTTACTTTCGATGTAATTTCTCGTCCTCGTGCAAAAAATTCAGGGTTGCCAGCCAAATTATTTTTTTCCATTCCCTGACTTTTCCCTGACTTTCCAATATTTTTCCCTGACTTTTAAGTATGGATCTGACGCACTCTGTTATTAAAGTGAAAATGAGAGCTATTTTCGACTATTTAAATTTTTAGCAGTTAGTTAACATGCACATTTGCAACGCAAGGGCTAGGCACAGAAAACTGCCTGGTTAGGGTGTATTTCAACAAATATTTTTGGCGATTAAGATTGGACCTTGAGGTTTCAGAAGATGTTTTCCAATTATCACGAGCAGCAATGAAGGATTAAGGTGCAGGAAGGACACTTTTCAGAATCAGTGATTCAGAATTTCCTTTAGCATTCCATCCCTTTCAAGGCAAAGAAATGCTAGTGGCATGAAGACAATTTTACTGAACGTGCTTTATAATTTAATAATATTGTTAACAAAAATTTTAAGTAAAATTACTAAGTGACTTTTTTACAAAAAAATAAATTGTTGATAGAGATCCTGAAAAACTGCAATGGAGAGGTGCCCTTTTCGCACACAAATTTTGGTGTAATGTTATCACACATTATTTTTTTACAACAAAATTTTTTAATAATAACTACTTCCGTGCCACCATTTTGATTCATTAATTCTAAGCATTTTCTGAAATTTGATGGGCAATCGATAGGGCATCAGAGATTCAAGAGGATATTCCTAATTTATCACATAACTTCTAGAAAATAAAATCCAATTCAAAACTTTTACGAGAGATATTTGTCAGCTGCCATATCTTAACTATTTAGGGTTCAGGAATTTTTCAATGTAAAAGAGAAAGGTTAGCGTGATGGCAAACTCGTTGTGAGCTTCTATGTTATGTGAACAAACGTAAACACACGCGCACACACCCTCCCTCACACGCGCGCGCAGGTCCGACGCGACGCGATGGTCGGAATGTCGGAATGCCGGTAGTTCCTCGCGAAGCCGAGCGAGAGCGCCACCATCCTCCGCAATCGAACGCAGTAGTCAGTTGATCCCGCAACGCGAGCCCGAGACCGCCCGCGCCTAATTCCACGAAAAATCAGAAAATTCCCTGACCAACACCGAAATTCCCTGACTTTCCCTGACTTTTCCCGGTTGATTTTTTTCCCCTAAATTTTTCCGGTTTTCCCGGTCGCTGGCAACCCTGAAAAATAAATGTACTTTTTTTTACGTTCACTGAACTTTTCAGCTAGGAATAAAAAGTATTGTCTCAGTAAATGAAATTTTGTGTTTAAAATTCGTTTGACGTTCACTGAACTTTTCGCCTTCAGTATCGCGTTGCGTTGCGTTGCGTCGCTGGTTTCCTCGTTATGCGACAACCTGAAATTCATATACCAATAAAAAAACCCAAAAACATTTTTCGGGTAAAATATCTGGTCGAGAAAATTGAAATATTACATCTGAACCAAAAACATTCCCTTTCAATCCTGCAAGAAGGTTGATAAAACTAACTATTAGATAGGTACAAACTTCTTTTAATTTTTTAGGGTCCACCACGACCTAATATGTCCAAAAACTTACCCGAGGGTTTACAAAAAAAGAAGAGAAGAAAAGAAAATTAATCCATTAACAAAAAGAAAATGGGAAAAATCGAAAAACCGATTTTGTGGTTCATAATTACCTAAATCCCTTGAATGAATTTGAAATCACAAAATCGGACAAGGATATCTAATGAATTTTCCCCTTCAACTGTGAGTTCCGCAACAAGCGCAACTCGCTTGGACCTTTCCATACACGAGCCGCACAAAACTGATTTCTTCTTACTAATTGTTCGGAGAGCGGGAGCATTTACTTTTTCCTTCATAAATACGGGATGCAACAAGCATGACTCTTGCGTTTGCAGAAACTCTTTCATTAAAGAGATTGCGAGAGCCTAAACAGCGTCTATCACCGAAAGACATTACTCAAGAATTTCACGCATTTTAATAATTTAAACGATTCGTCTGTTCTTATCTCTTCTCTCCTTCCGTCCATTGACGGAGGTACAAAATTGTTCGGACTCACTGACGCGACCGGCTCGATGCGTTAATAAGGGTAGTTTATTAAGATAAAAAAAAATTCAAAGAATAACACCTACATCACAGCATGGGTCGGCACCATACCTGCTAAGGGATGGAATGCTAAAGGAAATTCTGAATCACTGATTCTGAAAAGTGTCCTTCCTGCACCTTAATCCTTCATTGCTGCTCGTGATAATTGGAAAACATCTTCTGAAACCTCAAGGTCCAATCTTAATCGCCAAAAATATTTGTTGAAATACACCCTAACCAAGCAGTTTTCTGTGCCTAGCCCTTGCGTTGCAAATGTGCATGTTAACTAACTGCTAAAAATTTAAATAGTCGAAAATAGCTCTCATTTTCACTTTAACAGAGTACGTCAGATCCATACTTAAAAGTTGAAATTTGAGATTTTTAGATAAAATAACACTGTTTTCCCATGGCAAACGCCGAGTTACGGGTCTTAGGGGCGAAAATTTCGTCCGTTTGGTCGTATCTGCAACGCTAAAGCCGCAAAACACCCGAGAAAGGCGCGCACAACGAGAGACTAGCAGCAAAATGGGCGCGCCGCGCCGTAGCGCAACGCGCGCGCATCCTCTGCACTGCCAAAACGACATGCCGCACGCACGCACTAAGCTTACGCGGGCCCGAAAGTTTCCGTCCGGTGCAATGTATCATTACGAATTGACTTGGATACACTTTAACATTAAAAAACAGTTGAAATGTATAAATACATCAAAAAGACAAATTTTCTTTGTAAAATATTGGCTATATTAGTCGGGGGGCATACATAACAAAACATATGTCCCGTGTGCAGATTCGTGAAGGCATATTGTGTGATACATCAATCTCTTCGTTTTGATGTCTAGAAAAAGAAAATCGATGATGGCCATCTCAAATTTCATACAAACCCCCCCAAATTCAAGATGGCGGCCAAAATGGCGGTTTTGGGGTAAAAAAAGTTAAAGTTTGCAAATATGTCGTGTCGGGTGTCGTTTCTTATGTATTTTTGATCGTAGAATCCGAATTTTCAGTCAAAAGATAGCCCAAAGGT